AACAATAAATAATTAATTATTAGATAAATTTATGTATAGGAAAAAGAAATTCTACTGAGTCATATCATATAAAAATGTCGTCTGCTATTTTTTTTTTTCAATTTGTAAATAATTCGGTTTCGGAAAATATTTTACTTTTGTTTCCAATAATTGTTTTACATGGAATCCCTCGAGCTACGAATGAACTTTTCGACCAATATTTCGTACATTTGCTTTTAGCTTTAGACAATGCTAATAAAACGTTTGGCTCTTTCGGATCCGTCACTACTGCCTGTGAACCTGAAAATGATAAATTTTTAATTACTGAACGTTAGATTAGGTATCTTTTTCGGTAGGTACGCCATAGTAGGTTTTTTTTCGCACTTACTTTCGGTTATCGTGACCGATGGCATAAATTCCGATAGCATGTATTCGCAAGCGGCATCCGCATCCGTCGAACCCACGTCTTGTATGCATCCTATTGTGAGAGGACAACCGTTTGTTAGGTACGTGTACGTGCTGTTCTGATGCGGAGTTTTCCCACCCCCGTTTCTAGGCATGTTCGACGAACACCCGAAGAGAAGAACCAAACCTTTGACGTAGGTTTTTTTCAAATCTTTCGTTTTTAAATATTGTGTTCCCGAACCGTGACCGCAATACCTGAAATCCGTACATCGTTAAATAAAAGAATTTCAGGAGGAAAAAGTGGAAAAACAATTTGACTCACAGGTACAAAGAATAATTTTTAATTTTTGTCACGAGTTCTTTTGGATCGGGTACGATTCCTATTTCCTTATCCGCCCAAGGTAATCTTTTTTTTAAAAATTCTTTCATTTGCTTTTCGCATGACTCCAAATCTTTTCCGGGATTTATCAAACTGTACACGCTATCCATTTCTGCCAACCTATCAATCGTAAATTAGTTGCGAGACATTTCAAATGTAATTAATTAAGTTATTTACTCTTTGCTCACCTGTAACCGTTTTTTATGTGGGGTTGATGGTATTTGTATAAGGCATAGAGTAAGTGAAACGATGAAATTCTACAAACCGGTTGAAAAACAAGAGGCGTTAACATTTCCCACGGTATGTTTTCAAATTCCTGTATAATTAATTTTAATTTTTTCTTTTTAAATGATATTTTGTTACGAGTATATTTAATTTTGATTTGTACGTTACACTTACGTTGTCTAAAATTAATATGACCGGTTTATATAAAGCTTTTTTTATTGCATTCTCTTTTCTCAAATTCAAAACTTTTATGTTTTCGACTAGTAACATCAATTGAGAAGTATTAACTGATTCATTTTCATTTGGATATAAAGCCAAACGTAAAATTGCATATATATCTTTACATTTTAAAAAACTAGCCGATAAAACAACTTGAAATATTAAATCCATGTAATGACTCTCTAATCTAAAATTATATAATAATTAGAATTTTTAAGAAAAGGATTTCGATTGAATTTTATATATATATATATATATACTTACTGAAATTTTATTTTGTTATTATCGCAAAATTCTTTAATTAATTTTTTCAATGATAAATATGTTTCATTTTCTAAATTTTCATCTTCTAATTTTCCATGAAAAAGACAAAGCCAATGTTTTAAATAATATGTTTCTAATTCTTTTATAAAACACTAAAAAAAAAAAAAAATTTGAAATAAAATACATAAAAGTTATCGATTTAAAAATAACTTGCATAACTTATATGAAATGTGTGAGAGTTATTAAAAATCTTACTGATAATTCTGAATTAGTATTATTATAAGCATCATACAACTTTCTAGAAGTTCTACCCATTGAAAAATATTCTCTTCTTAATTTTGCTAAATTTTTCGGAATATCAAATAAATTGTCAATGTTATCATGTTTTGGGTCAATCGTAATGCCATACGGAGAAATCCTTTAATAATAAAGAATAATAATAATAATATTTTACAAGAGTTAATAAATAATACTTTGTAATTTTAAGAAAGAAAGAAAACCTTTCAGCATTTTTTCCACAATAAAACTTAGTTATATGCATTCCTGGAACTATTTTACTGTTATTTTTCGAAGCAATGTCAAATTTTGTAAACTTTTTCGTTATTTGTATAACAGTCCACTCTGAAACAGTTATTTAAAAAATTAATGCAATGGTATAGTTTAAACTATATAAGAAAAATAATTCAGGTATGAATTCCTACTTACCAGAAGGCAATTCTTTTAATTTTTCAATAAAATCATTGTAATCATTAATAATGAAATGTTTTGGATCTAAAACTGGAACTGATTGTAAGCAGTCTTTATTAAAATTTTCCTCTAGACTAAAAAAATTTCAAAGGTTTTAATGTTTTACCTCGAATTAAACCTGACAAAAAAATACAATTAAAAACAAAATACCTAATATCCAACCAATATTTAACATCGTTTAATAAATGAATTCCATGAGATTTAACCAATTCGAAAATTTTTTCATTATTTATAAATTCTGTATCTGATTGTGCAATTGCCAAATATTTAAAAAAACCTAAAAAATATCAAAGTAATAATACTGTTGTTGTTCTTATTTAAAGTAGTCTACATTTTAATGTAAATTGTACTTTACCCATAACATGTTGTAACCTAAAAAATTTTTTTTACTTACATTCAAATTCAGGTTCTGGTTGAATACGTTCATTTTTCATTAAATTTTTAATTTTTTCAATAATTTCGGTTTTCAACAGCTCCGAATCCATTATTTTACAGAGCTGTATTATGTTAAAAATCAACCGAAACTAATATAAATTTAAAAATCAAATTTAACGGTCAAAAAATTATTAATAATATTTAATTAAAACGTGGTTATAGAATGTATAATGGCTGCTACAAATTCAAGTAGAATTGTTATTGTAATTAAAAAAAATATAGGGATTTACCCTTTTTATTTAAATTTTTAATTTAATAAATTTTAGTTTGCATATATATTAGTGAGTAATATTTTTTCAAATTATTTTTCTCTTCACTTTAAA